GAGGTTCCTCAAAAAGTTAAGAATAGAACCACCTTGTGACTCAAAAATTCTACTTCTGGATATTTATCAGAAGGAAATGAAAACACTAACTCAAAAAGATAAACTACCATTTTTACCACAGCATTATTTACAAGACCCAAGACATGGAAACAACCTAAGTATCCATTGATGGATGAATGGATAAGGAAAATGTGGTATATATACCCAACGGGATATTATGTAGTCATAAGTAAGAAGGAAATCCTGCTATTTGCAACATGGATGGATCTTGAGGGTATTATACTGAGTGAAAAAGCGAACAAATACTACATAATCCCACGTATACATGGAATCCAAAAACAAACAAACAAACAACAAAATCAAAGATACAGAGAACAGACTGGTGGTTGCCAGAGACAGGGGGTTTGGCATGGGTGAAATGGGTGAAGGTGGTCAAAAGATACATACCTCCAGTTAGAAAACAAGTCATGAAGATGTAATGTACATCATGAAGACTAGTTATTAATACTGTACTGTATATTTGAAATTGCTAAGAGAGTAGAACTTAAAAGTTCTCATTACAAGAAAAAAAATTGTAACTGTATGGTGACAGATGGTAACCAGACTTGTGGTGATCATTTCACAATATAGACATATATCACACTGTACACCTGAAAATAATGCTTATCTATATTATCAATATAATTCAATTATAATGCTAAAAAAGTAGGAAAAAGAAATGGTGTTAAAAATACTAAAATACAAAACTTCTTACTTCCTTCCAAAAAGAACCACATAAAAACCTCCCAGATTAAATTCCTGAAAACAAACAAACAAAAACTTACAGGTTGCACCATACTTAACAGTGAAAGAACAACCAAATGCTTCCCCCTATGATCAAGAACAAGACATGTCCACTCTCACTTCTTTTTAATATTGCACTAGAGGTTCTAGCCAATACAATAAGAAAAAAAGAAAAAAGAAATAGAATTCTCCAGATTGAAAAGATACAAAAGTGTCTTTATTAGCAGACGGCATGCTCTATGTAGAAAATCTGATGAATCTACAAATATTCTACTACAGCTAAAAGTGAATTTAGTAATATTGCAGTAAAACTACAAAATACAGCTGAGAGCAATTAAAGACCTAAATAAATGGTGAACTATACCATGGTCAGGAGTCAGAAGACTCAATATTGTTTAGATGAAAATTTTCCACATACTGATCTATAGATTCAATGCAATCTCAAACAAAATCCCAGCAGTTTTTTCATAAAGAAATAGATTCTAAAATTCATGTGATAGCAAAAGGCCTAGAAGAGCCAAAATCACCTGAAAAAGAATAAAGTCAGAGGACTAACATTAGCATCTTCAATATAAAACTATATTAATATATAAAACTATAGTAATCAAGACAGTATGAGATTAGCATGAAGACAGACCAATAATAGATCAATGAAATAGAATACATAGTGCAGAAAAAGACTCACATATATGTGATCAATTCATTTTCAACAAAGGCAGAAATACAGTTTAGACACAAAATAATAGTCTTTTCAACAAATGGCACCTAAACAATTGCTCATATAAATATATTTATATCTTTTAAAAGAAACTTCAGTCCACATCTTGCAATATATACAAAATTCATCCCAAGTGGATGGTAGACCAACTATAAAATCTGACACTTATAAAACTTCTGGAAGAATATATAGATTATCTTTGTGACCTTAGAGTGAGTGTCCAGAAAGATTTCTTGGATAACCATGAAAAGCACAATCCATAAAGAAAAAATTTATAATTAGACTCCATCAAAATTAAAAACTGTTAAAAGAATGAAAAGATAAAATACAACTGGGAGAAAGTATTTCCAAATCATGTATCTGGAAAAAAAAAATTAAAAAAGACTTATACCCAGAATACATAAATGTCAAAATTCAATGACAAGAGAACAAAAACCCAAATAAAAATGGGCAAAAGAGCTATAATGAGCTATCACCTCACACCTGTCGGAATGGCTAAAATCAACAACACAAGAAACAACAGGTGTTGATGAGGATGTGGAGAAAAAGGAACCCTCATACACTGTTGGTGGGAATGAACACAAACTGGTGCAGCCACTGTGGAAAACAGTATGGAGGCTCCTCAAAAAATTGAAAATAAAACTATCCTACAATCCAGCAACTGCACTATGGGGTATTTACCCAAAGAATACAAAAATACTAATTCAAAGGAGTACATGCACCCCTATGTTCACAGCAGCATTATTTACAACAGCCAAACTATAGAAATGGCCCAAGTGTCCACTGACTGATGAACAGATAAAGAAGAGATGGTATATATACACAATGGAGTATTACTTGGCCATAAAAAAGAATGAAATCTTGCCATTTGCAATAACATGGATGGAGCTAGAGGGTATTATGCTAAGCAAAATAAGTCAGTCAGAGAAAGACAAATACCATATGATTTCACTCACATGTGCAATTTGAGAAACAACACAAATAAGCATGGGGAAAAGGGAGAGAGAGAGGCAAACCAAGAAACAGACACTTAACTATAGAGAACAAACTGATGGTTACCAGAGGGGAGGTGGGTGGGTGGATGGGTTAAACACGTGACGGGGATGAAGGAGGGCACTTGTGATGAGTACCAGGTGTTGTAAGTGTTGAATCACTCTTTTGTGCACCTGAAACTAATGTTACACTGTATGCTAACTAACTGGAATTTAAAATTATTTTTAAGGGCGCCTGGGTGGCTCGGTTAAGCGTCTGCCTTTGGCTCAGGTCATGATCCCAGGGTCCTGGGATCAAGTACCACATCAGGCTCCCTGCTCAGTGGGGAGTCTGCTTCTCCCTCTGCTTCTGGCCCTCCCCCCGGCTTGTGTGCTCTCTTGCTCTCAAATACATAAAATCTTTAAAAGTATTTTTAAAAAAGAAGAAAATGGGCAAAAGATCTGAACACACATTTCACTAAAGAAAACACAGGGATGGAAAGCACATGAAAAGATGTTCAACATCATTAGTCATTAGTCATTAGTCATTTGGAAATGTAAGTTAAAACCATAATAAAATACTACTACAAACCAACAGGCTAAAATTCAGATTGATCAATTATTAGGATGTGGAGGAACTAGAACTCTCATACATTGCTGGTGGGAATGTAAAATGGCTCAGCTATTTTGTAAATAGTTTGGCAGTTTCTTAAAAAGTCAAACATACAACTACCATATCATCCAGGCATTCCACTCCTAGGTATTTATTTACCCAACAGAAATGAAAACATATGTTTGTACACATATGTTCATAGCAGTTTTATTTGTAATAGCCAAAACTCAAATGTCCATGAACAGGTGAGTGAATAAACAATTTAAGGTGTATCCATACAATGAAATATTAGTCAGCTATACTCAAACAAACACACACCCACACACCTTTTGATACACACGACATGGATGAATCTCAAAAGATTAAAGCTCGGTAAAAGAATCCAGAGGAAAAGCATATATACTATATAATTTATATAAAACTCTAGTAAATTCAATATAATCTATAGTAACAGAAAGCAGATCATTGGTTACCTGGGGACTAGAAGAGGGTTGGGGAGGGGTCAGAAGTATGGATTACAAAGAGGCACAAGGAGGGGCGCCTGGGTGGCTCAGATGGTTAAGCGTCTGCCTTCGGCTCAGGTCATGATCCCAGAGTCCTGGGATAGAGCCCCACATCGGGCTCCTGGCTCAGCGGGGAGCCTGCTTCTCCCTCTGCCTCTCTCCCTGCTCATGCTCTCTCTCTCTCTGTATCTGTGTCTCAAATGAATAAATAAAATCTTTAAAAAAAAAAAAAAGAGGCATAAGGAAACTTTGAAGGTAATGAATATATTCATTATCTTGATTGTGATGATTTCATGATGTCAAAACAAGGCAAAACTTAAATGGCCCTTAATAAAGCTGTTAAAAAATGAACAAACAAAACTGGTACATTTATACAATAGAAATCTATGTAGCAATTTTAAAGAATGAAGTAGGGTTAATATATACCAAACATTTCCAAGATACAGGGTTAAAGGAAAACAAAGTGCAGGGTACTATACATAATCTGCTACCATTTGCAATTTTGTTTTAAAAAAGGATACCGAACCAACCTATCTAATAATTGTTTCTATAAGCATAGAATATCTCTGGAAAGAGACCCAAAAATTGATGAGAAAGAGAGATAGGGAGAGAAGGAGGGAGGGAGGAGGAGAGAGGACAGGAGAGTGAGAGAGAAGGAAAGAGGGAGATGGGGGGGTAGGCTGAGATTTGGTGCAGAAGGGAAACAGTTTTCACTACATACCTTTTTGAACTAGGATTTTTTCCTGCACAAATGTACCACTTTTTCAACAAACATAAAATGACTTACTGATTCCATTTTGGTGAGCTCTGTCCTATAGAACACTTACACCAGGGCGTCTGGGTGGCTCAGTGAATTAAGTGTCTGGCTCCTGATTTCGGCTCAGGTCATGATGTCAGGATCGTGAGATCGAGCCCCACATCAGGCTCCACGCTCAGTGCGGAGTGTGCTTGAGATTCATTCTCCCTCCCTCTCCCTCCCCTTGTCCCTCCCCCCACTCGTGTGCATACATGCGCGTGCTCTCTCTCTTAAAATCTTTTAAAAAAAAGTCTCAAGACTTTATTAATTTATTTAAAATTGACCTATAATTGACATATAACTCAATAAAGATTTTTTTTAAATTTATTTATTTATCTTTTAAAAGATTTTATTTATTTGAGAGAGAGCAAGAGTGAGAGAGAATGCAGAGGGAGAGAGAGAAGCAGGTTCCCCGCTGAGCAGAGAGCCCTATGCCGGGCTCGATCCCAGGACCCCGTGATCATGACCCAAGCTGAAGGCAGACGCTTAACCCATTGAGCCACCCAGGCGTCCCAAGATTTTTTAACTTAATTAAACTAATGGTTTCAGTTTGCATGGCCACTGTAATAGATGTGAAAGCATGATAATTTTAAACTGGACTTAAGATGAAACTCACCCTTTTCCGCGCTTCAGATTTCTGGAAGCACTCGTGCTGTATGAAAGTAGCTGCAGCAGAAATTCTGGGTGGCGGTGTGTGGTCTGCATCGAGCATACTCACTGCTCGCTCCAGAGTCATCTCCGTGTCTGCATTCCTAGACAAACAGTCACAGATTCAGCAGAATTCCAAACCTGCTCCCTCCTGCCTACCAACCTGATCCTCCAGAAATGACTCTGCTAATATCCGAAAGCACCTAGAACATCTGAGCCTTGGCTTCTCTTCCCCCAAAAGAAAAGTCAGCACCTGAAGATCAGAAGGTACAGGAAGCTAGCAGAAGAAATATTCCAGCTCTGGTCAGACTGGCCTCTGAAAATGTCACTGAATTGAGCAGACTCATAATATATACCAAAGAAAGAAGATGAAGTCTGTTTAAGATAAATATGTGTAGTATGATAAGTATGTATTAAAAGGTCACTTTAAAGGCACAATGTGTGGGGTGCCTGGGTGGCTCAGTCAGTGGAGCCACTTATAAATACATACGTACATACATACATACATAAGGCACCAATAAGACTTTATGTGGAACTTAAATTTGATCTTAGAAATTAAGAATTATTTCTACCATGGTAATGTTACATCTGTGGATGAAACACCTTCCCTCAATAATCATTAGATTTTTCTCAAAGCTACTCAGAATCTGTTATTTCACCTAACAATGAGTTTTAAAATAAGCATTCAAAAAGTTTTCTAATAAAAATAATAGTATGTAAACAGTAAAAGCCAGTAAAATTGAGTTTGTTTTGTTCAAATAAGGCATGCTGATGTGACAGAACCCATCAGGAAAAGTAATGATTAAACATAATTATAATATGCTTTTTCTTAAAGAAAACAATTTTGTACCCATTCTGTCACCATTTGCTTTGCCACTGCAACGACATTTGGTTTATGTCTATCTAGTAGCGTACTTTTGTCCTTTACTAATTGTGGGTATTTATAGTGATGATGAAATCCGATGCAGTTCGACACAAGAGAGGATAATTTATAGAGGACAAATAAAATTGCCACTTGTAAAACAATAGCTCCCAAATGGCTCATCGAACTGGTTTTTTCCTCCCTTTTATTTCTGCCTGGAGGGTAACTAGGTTAGGCAACCTATTATCACTGTGGATGTTAACACATTCATGCTTCCGTAAGCACTGACTCAGAGAAAGCAGACGCAGGATGGCAACATCTTAGAATTATGGCTAAAAACTTGTCTTAAAGGTATCCTAGGACTTTGGCTTCAAAGAGGATTACACCTGATTCACTCCTGGTAATGGAGAACAGAAAGAAGCTTGGCAGGGTATTTTCCAGTATTTGCTAACAAGCACAAGGAATACAGGCATACCATGTTTTATTGTACCTTACTCTACGATGCTTTGCAATATTGCTTTTTAAAGATGTGAAGGCTGTGCCAACCCTGCGTCAAGCATGCCTATCAGTGCCAGTTTTCCAACAGCATTTTCTCCCCTCATGTCTCTGTGTCACATTTTGGTAATTCTCACAATATTTCAAATTTTTTGCTACAGTGATCGGTGATCAATGATCCTTGATGTTACTACTGTATTTATTTGGGGGGGGGGGTGCCACGAATCACACCCACATAAGATGGTGAACTTGACTGATAAATGTGTGTATTCTGACTGCTCCATCAACCGGCTATTTCCCCATCTCTCCTTTCTCCGTAGGGCCTCCATATTCCCTGAGACACAGACTGAGCCAGTTAATAACCCTACAGTGGCCTCTAAGTTTCGAGTGAAAGGAAGAGTTGCACGTCTCTCACTTTAAATCAAAAGCTAGAAATTATTAAGCTCAGTGAGGAAGGCACATTGAAAGCCAAGAAAGGCTGAAAGCCAGGCCTCTTGTACCAAGCAGCTGGCCAAATTGTGAACGCAAAGTAAAAGTTCTTGAAGAAAATAGAAAGTTCACTCTAGCGAACACGCAAATGATAAGAGTGAAACAAGAGGGGTGCCTGGGTGACTCAGTCGGTTAAGTGTCTGCCTTCAGCTCTGGTTGTGATCCCGGGGTCCTGGGACTGAGCCCGGGGAATGGGGTTCCACGCTCAACGGGGCGTCTGCTTATCCCTCGCTCTCTGCCCCTCTCCCCCCACCCCCGCTCATGCTCAGTCTCTAGCTTGCTCTCTCTCAAGTAAATAAATAAAATCTTAAAAAAAAAAAAAAAAAGTGAAACAACCTTATTGCTGATATGGAGAAATTTTCAGTTGTCTGGAAAGATGATCAAACCAGCCACAACATTCCCTTAAGCCAAAGCCAAAACCACAGAAAGGCCCTGACTCTCCTTAATTCTGTAAAGTCTGAGAGGTGAGGAAGCTGCAGAAGAAAAGTATGAAGCTAACAGAGGTTGGTTCATAAAGTTTAAAGAAAGAAGCCGTTTCCATAACATAAGTGCAAGGGTGAAGCACATTTTTTTAAAAAAAAACCTATTTATTTGAGAGAGTGCATGCAGGGTGGGGGTGGGGAGGGCAAAGGGAGAGGGAGAGAAAGTCTTAAGCAGACCCCTCACTAAGCGCAGAGCCTAAGCGGGGCTCAATCTCACGACCCTGAGATCAGGACCTGAGCTGAAATCAAGAGTTGGATGCTCAACAGACTGAGCCACCCAGGCACCCCTAGGTGAAGTACTTTTGTAGAAGCTACAAGTCATCCAGATCTTGCTAAGATAATTAATGAAGGTGGCTACACTAAACAACAGATTTTCAATGTAGACAAAGCAGCTTTATATTAGAAGAAGATGCCATCTGAGACTTTCATAGCTAGGGAGGAGAAGCCAATGTCTGGCTTCAAAAACAGGCCGACTCTTTTGTTAGATGCTATTGCAGCTGGTGACTCTAAGTTGAAGCCAATGCTCACTGACCATTTCCAAAATCCTAGGGCCCTTAAGAATTATGCTAAATCAGGCGCCTGGGTGGCTCAGTCGTTAAGGTCTGCCTTCGGCTCAGGTCATGATCTCAGGGTCCTGGGATCGAGTCCCACATCGGGCTCCCTGCTCTGCGGGAAGCCTGCTTCTCCCTCTCCCACTCCCCCTGCTTGTGTTCCTGCTCTCGCTATGTCTCTCTCTGTCAAAAAAATAAATGAAAAAATCTTTAAAAAAAAAAAAAAGAATTATGCTAAATCTACTTTGCCTGTGCTCTATCAATGGGACAACAAACCCTGGATGACAGCACATTTGTTTGCAACATGGTTTATTGAATATTTAGCCCACTGTTGAGACCCACTGTTCAGAAGGAAAAGATACCTTTCAAAATATTACTGTTCATTGACAATGCATGTGATCACCCAAGAAATCAGATGGAGACATATGATGAGATTAATGTTGTTTTTATGCTTACTATCACAGTATCCATTCTGCAGCCCATGGATCAATGAGTAATTTTGACTTTCAAGTCTTACTATTTAAGAAATACATCGCTTTGGCGGTACATATACTAAAATTGGAACCATACAGAGAAGATTAGCATGGCCTTTGCACAAGGATGACATGTAAATTCATGAAGTGATCTACAGTTTTTATAAGTCGGGAATAAAAGGCACAGCATAAGTATAGTCAATGATACTGTAATAGGGTTGTATGGTGACAGATGGTAGCTACACTTGTGAGGAGCAAAGCATAATTTATAAACTTGTTGAATCAATATGTTATATACCTGGAACTAATGTAACATTGTGTATCAACTACACACACTCAAATTTAAAAAATTAAAAAAAAAATACACTGTGCAAGGCTATAGCTTCCATAGGTTCCTCTGATGGATTTGGGCAAAGTAAATTGAAAAGCTTCTAGAAAGGATTCACCATTCTAAGTGCCATATAAGAGCATTCCTGAATCAAGGTGCCTGGCTGGCTCAGTTGAAAGAGCAAGTGACTCTTGATCTTGGGATCGTGAGTTTGAGCTCCACAATGGGTGTAGAGATTATGTAGATAAATAAAACTAAAAAAAAAAAAGAGCATCCTGATTCATAGGAAGAGATCAAAATATCAACATTAACAGAAGTTTGGAAGAAGTTGATTCCAACCCTCAAGATGACTTTGAGGGGTTCAGGACTTCAGTAGAGGAAGTAACTGCAGATGTGGTGGAAATAGCCAGAGAGCTAGAATCAGAAGTGGAGCCTGAAGATAGGACTGAATTGCTGCAATCTCATGATAAAATTTTAACAGAAGAGGAGTTGCTTCATATGGATAAGCAAAGAAAATGGCTTCTTGAAATGGAATCTACTGCTGGTGAAGATCCTGTGAAGACTGCTGAAATGACAACAAAGGGTTTAGAATATTACATCAACTTAGTTGCTAAAGAAGCTGCAGGGATGGGAGAATTGCTTCCAATTTTGAAAGAAGTTCTCCTGTGGGTAAAATGCTATCAAACAGCATCACATGCTAAAGAGAAATCATTCATGCAAGGAAAAGTCAGTCAATGGGGCAAACTTCATTGTCTTATTTTTTTTTTTTAAAGATTTTATTTAGGGGTGCCTGGGTGGCTCAGATGGTTAAGCGTCTGCCTTCGGCTCGGGTCATGATCTCTAGGTCTTGGGATCGAGCCCCATGTCGGGCTCCCCGCTCGGCAGGGAGTCTGCTTCTTCCTCTCCCTCTGCCTCTCCCCCTGCTTGTGCTCTCTCTCTCTCTGTCTCTGTATCTCTCTCAAATGAATAAATAAAATATTTTTAAAAAATAAAATAAATTTAAAAAATAAAGATTTTATTTATTTGACAGGGAGGGACACACAGCGAGAGAGGGAACACAAGCAGGGGGAGTGGCAGAGGGAGAAACAGGCTTCCTGCCAAGCAGCGAGCCTGATTTGGGGCTCGATCCCAGGACCCTGGGACCATGACCTGAGCCGAAGGCAGACGCCTAATGACTGAGCCACCCAGGTGCCCCGTAAACTTCATTGTTTTATTTTAAGAAATTGCCACATCCCAACCTTCAGCAACCACCACCCTGATCAGTCAGCAGCCATGAACAATGAGGTAAGACCCTCCACCAGGAAAAAGATTACCACTCTCTGAATGCTCAGATGACGGTTAGCATTTTTTAGCAATAAAGTAGTTTTAAATTAAGGTATGTACATTGTTTTTTTTTAGACATAATGCTATTGCATATTTAATAG